TAATTATTTAATTTTTTATTATCCGATTTCTTTCGATGATTACAAACAAATTAAAAAAAAAAAAATATATATATATATAAGAAGTTATTTAAAATTTTACTTTTCTTTTTCAAATTTATATCAATAGACAAATTGAATAATCCTAAAATATGTTTTCGCGTATAAAAATTTGAAAATGTTATATTACAAGGAAATATTGATTGTTTCCAATTGACAATGCCGGTACAAATATTTCTATAACTCATTGTATGTGCGCGTCATATATTGGAGAATAAAATTAGATTAAAAAAAAGAATATTAATTTATCGGTACGCGTGACTTTAAAGTTACGCGAGACTCCCATAGAATTAAAAGATTGAATTTTAGTGAATAAATACATTGTGTAACGAAAGATGATTTGTTAGCATATGAATTGAATAATAAATGTTGAAACTATGAAAAGTAATGATGGGAAGGAAACCGTAAAATGTTTCATTGTTCAAATGATTTGATAGTTCGCGAACGCCTCGCGTTATGTGGTTTCTACGAATAGCCAGCCCAATTGTAGATATTTTGTTGAAATGACAGTAATCAATGTTAAATTTAACGATACTGGGATACACCCATTGATAAATATATTATCTGCAAGTGTTACGAACAATATGAAAAGAGATATATCAAAAGTGCTTTATTCCTATATACGATTGTAGGAACAAACGTGTTGCCAATAATATTCTCAATGATAAATGAAATGATTTCATAGTTCAGGATAATTTTTTATTATTTTTCTCGAGTTTAATCAATGATGAATCTATTAATAAGTATTAATAAAAAATCTAAAGAGCGAAGAAGAAAAAAGAAACGTAGAAAGAGAATATATACACACACACATATATATATATACATGCACACAAATATATTATCTCTTTTTCGACATTATTATCTTTTATCCGTAAAAGATAATAGTCTATAAGAGTAAGAAAAAGATGGAAAGAAGGATCTTAGTAACGATCTTACGAAACGATTCTTCTTCGTGCGATCGAATGTGCTTTACAGACACTGATGACTCTATTTCGTAGATACGTCGTCGATTGGCGATATCCTCTTTTATCGTGCACCGATAAACTGTGAAATAGGGCTGACTTCTACGACTCGGTAAGAGGAATGAAAAGCTTAAAACAGTTTCTGCTTCTACCTACTTCTTCTTCTTCTTCGTCTTCTTTCTCTTTATCTTAGAAGCTAGTAAAGAATATATATAATATATATATATATATATATATTATATATGTATTATATATGTAATCTTCCTACCTATATATATATATATCGACTTTTGCTATCGCTATAACCAAGGCCATTCGAGCGTTTTCCGATAGTAGCCAAAGAATCAAACTAGTTTAATACACCTTCCTGTGAGTAGAGTGCTATCGATCTATCTACGAGGTTAACCAAAGAATGAATGTGAATACAAAAAAATATTTGATACACACATGTATATATATATATTAATTTACAACAAAAATTTCACATCTAACAATATCGAGATTGATCTTTTTATTCCATCATACTATGTGTACTTTTGTTGAAACTTTATATCTGGTTTTAGGTGTAATAACATTCTAATCGAAATATGGGGAATCATGTGAAAAGTAATATCAACGGATCTTTTTCTTTTTATCTTATATTCCTCCCTCTCTTTCTCTTTCCCTTTCTTTTTCTTTCTCTTACAAACTTTATTAACCTAACGACGGTTCGAAGTTTCAATTTGGAAATGGGTCGACGTTGGTGCCGATTGGAATATTTTCAATTACTTGTGCATACAATCCTCGCCGCATCGGCAATTCTCCGAGTGGTGTGACTACCCGTGCAAATTCCACTCTGACCGGTTCGTTGTAATATACATGTACAAACGACATTGAGAAACCTAATGTAATGTTACGATACATGCGTATACATGTGTGTATATATATCTAGGAAGTCCGAGAATGTTCTGCCGAAGCCGAAGCCGTAATAATGAAGTTATATCAACATCGTGAACTTTACTTAGACCATTGTGATATTATAATTTGTTACAAAATGAAATACACATTTACCTTTAAAAATATTAAAATTCATTTTAATTCTTATATTTTTTAATTACGAAGATCCTATCTTCTACGCTAATTAAACTGATTTATTTAAAATAATAAAAGTGCGCCTGAAGAGAGGCAACACTTTGTACTCGGTCGATAAAATCATTCGCTACATAATAAAACGTAGACAAAAATTAGATATTAATAGATGGCGTTTGTAAGCAGTAATACTAACGAGTATAAAGTGATGCCTATCTACAGGTGTATACAATTTTTATTTAAATAAATAATTATTAATATAAATAATATGTCTCGCGAAAGGAGTAAACGAATATATAAATTTCTTTATAATCATTATTTTTTTTTATTACAGTGGTCAGGAAGTGTTGATTTTTTTACCGCACATTGGGAATCATTGGCGATATTCCAAAATAACTGGACTGCAGCATTTGCAAATGTACGGGTCTTGTATTAACGATATCGAATACATGTATAAATGCATATATATATGTGCAACATTCATGGAAGACTTTTTTCGAGTTTCTTCTTAACTCACTAAACTTTGTTTACAGTCGGCGTCTCCTATCTGTAATTTATGCTCACCGTAGTTTCATTTTAAAACCGTACCAAGATAGTTTCCAACCGTTCGAGATACGAATACGTGACTATTAGACGCGTATTAAAGCAATGTAATTAATTCTGAATTAATTAATAAATAAACGATAACGCGCGCGATCTGACTTAATTTTAATATTGTATATTAAAAATACGTGGATTTGACGACGACCTCTTAGTTCGTTAAAAATTCATCAACGTTTTTAAGCGCAACGATATTTCGTACTAACGTTTTTACGAAACAAATAAAATAAAATAAAATATTTATATGAATTAATGTGCATGGCAGTAATTTAAAACGATATTTTAAACTATCATGTAAATGTTTACGTATGCACTTATACACGTTATATACGATAGAGATCGAATAAATGTAATCTGTTCGAATTTGCAACTAACATTCATGATTTCGATCAAAAATCCTACGAGCACACATATTAGTCAGTAAGTTAACATTTTTAATAGCTTTCATATCCATTACCATGTAATATAAAATATCGTTCAGTTGCACCACAAAGTCGAGGATGAATTAATAAATTTTATTTCTTTTTTTTATTTTCGTTTGGACACCTACGTTTTTAAAGGAGAACGGTTATTTCAATTTAAACGATATTTCTCGTCCGTGCTTCTATGCCCCGATAAATCATACCTTATATGAAGTTATTTTTAATGAGAAGGAACAAACATAATTTACACTTTTTTATTTTTTTTATTTTTCTTTTTCTTTTTCTTTTTTGAGATACACCTTTCTATCTTCGTTGCACTTTTTTTTTCTTACCTTGAAAAAAAAAAAACAAGCGTTAAGAGTTCAAGCAATATACGTTCTTCTTTCTCGAGGGAATATGTACGATGCTGGAAAATGTTTCATGGTAATGGTATAACATAGGTCTTGAGTTTACTTTGATATTCTTCCACAGGAATAAATGTCGTTTTTAGAAACATACCTAAGAGCATAATGTAAATGTGTTACAAAGGTTTGTTATTGTCCTCAAAATACACAAATTTTTTATAATAAATCATAAATATCTTTCAATAAGAAAAATTTAATTACCGAGATCTATGATGTCGATACCTATTGTAACCATAAAGATTAATGTTATAATCAATATGATATAAAATGTGATCGAGCCTGGAATAAACAAAACACGAAAAGAAATATATTAAAATTATTATAAAATATATATATTAAATTAATTATATATTCATTTATATAAAATATATTCAAATATTTGTCGTATTTTCTTTCAGTTTTCTTTCTTTCTTTTTTTTTTTTTTGTAGATGACATTAATGCATATGGAAGACTTGAAATTAATTACCCGTGCATCATTTTGACAAGTGAATAATGCGGTATGCTAAATGAAAGGTTTTAAGTTAGAAAACAATGATGCTAAAGCTTCCTGACCCGTTTAATCACCCGTAAGCTGTTATATATTAATATGTATTTATTTAAATAAATAAATAAATAAATACATATTAATATAAATTTTAATAAATACATATATATGTTTGCTTAAATTATTTTGGGAAAAAAAAAGGTAAATAAAAAATATAAATTTGAAATAAAAGATAAAAATAATTCTCGAGATGTTATTCGCTTCGCGCGCGTGTAATATAAAATATATTACTTTTCTATCTTCTCACTATCGCGATTACTTTCTCTTATAATAGCATTCAGATTTTTATGAAAAATTTCAACGAGTTTGAAAATGTAAAGTATCCTCTACAAGTAGGTGTGAAAAGATATCAACTATCTTTATTCGATGGATTTATAGACTGGTAAAAGCAGAGAATAAAAATGACATGATATTCTCGAGAGGATCACATCGGTATTCGCCCCCATAACTATTTTCATGACCCCCATAAAATAATCTCCATACCATGGCATATTAATATTGAGAAACCACGTATGCGATGAGTTATGCATGATTTACCTCTGCAATTTCTTCAGTTTAGTACTTGGGGATAAAGAATTGAAATATATCGCAGAATTAAAAAAGAGTATACCTAAAAATTAATATATTATATTGAATTAATTAAAGTTTCATATTTCCCCTTTTTCCTTTATTTTTTTTTTTACCACGTTTTATTAAATAAAATTAAAATATAATAAGAGACAGAAAAAAAATGAACAATTACCAAAACCAATGGGAATATTCAAAGTAATATCGATTACTCAAGTAGCGAACATAAATGACCGCATACACGCAAAAATCCTACGTATAATAACAATATAAATTTATTATAATTTTACACGTATATGTATATGTAAACGTATAATATATAATAGTATTTTTTTTTTTTTTTTTAATAAACATATAATGTACAATATAAATTTAATCAATTTTTTGTTTTGTGCATAAAATTTTAGAAATAATGTATCACTAAGGATACTGGAATTTTATTTTGTGTATATTCTTCTGTGGAAATGGGCAATGTTTTAGTTTTAGTTTTGTTTTTATTTTTAATTTGGTATATTATTCTTCTTATCGTTCGTTTCCTTTTGATTGCCGGTGTAATAGATCGAATCTAAAAATGATTTGACAAAATCACCGACCACAGTTCTATCTGGTATGCCTTGACTCATTCCATACATTGCCAACTTAAAAAAATATAACATATTTATTATTAATATTTGTATTATATATCTATTGATAATATGACATTTAAGACTCACTTTTCCTTCAACTGGAAGATCTGGGATTTTTAATATGCTTTCTAATTCAGTTTCAACGTCGTTTAAAAATTGATCTGCAACACCTGGCTCAGTATGAACATGTGTAACACAAAGATGAATACCGCTAGGGAATTGAAGCGGATTTAGATTCCATCCCTTTGCACTAAGTGCTTGCGACAATCTGTAGATATGAAAGTCCTTGGAACCTAATGCAATTACCGAAGTAACAGGTGAACCAAAAATAAAAATTCCATCCATTTGTCTTAATCTGTAGAGAATAAATATACATCATGGTATGAAAAAAGAATGAAAGAAACAATTCCATGTTGAAACATGCATGGTATCCAAATTCGTACTTATTTTCAATGTATTTGGAAGTATCGATAATTTTTTTTGTTGCCTCCAAATATCCATCATAACCGAAATACATTAAAGTAGCCCAACATGATGCTATAATTCCACCAGATCTAGAACCATTTATAGTGGGCGAACCATAAATGCCACCAGGCCAATCTGTTGTTATAGTATATTGATGATGTCTATATTTCTTTTCTCTGTAAAGTATGACCGAAGATCCTTTTGGTGCAAATCCATACTGTGAAAGAAAATTTACAAATAATATGAAATTCATTAAAATTTTCTATTAATGAACATTATTAAAATACCTTATGTGTATCAGCAGATATGCTAGTTACGCCAGGTAATTTAAAGTCAAATGGTGGTAAATCGTATCCTGCTTGCGACATAAAACAAATAAGAAATCCACCTAAACAAGCATCTACGTGAACTGGTATATTATATTTTATGCCAAGCGCAGAAATAGCTTCTACATTGTCCATTGTTCCATATGGAAAATTAGGTACTGAAGATACCAGCTAAAAAATAGATGTATAATATATTTTCCTATTTTAATTTACACAAAAGATATCATTTTAAAAAGAATACTATCTTATTACCATTATTGTGTTTTTATTAATAGCCCTTTCCATAGCTTTAACAGAAACTGTACAACTATGAGGATTGACAGGTACTGTGCATACTTTTATATTTAAGTATTGTGCAGCTTTATCAAATGCACTATGCGCAGTAACTGGAACTATCATTACTGGTTTTTTAATACCTTTCACTTCTCTGGCATAATCTCGATAAGCTTTACACGCTAATATTATTGATTCTGTACCACCTGTGGTCATCTAAAATAATTTATTTCAAAATCAGAATGATTTCTATTTGTTTCAATGAAAAATGAAATATAAATTAAGACTTTACAGTTCCACATGAATTCTCATCGCCATTAAACAAACGACAAGATATTCTAATAACTTCTGCTTCCATTTTACACACACCAGGAAAAACATCGGGATGTAAGGGATTAGTATATGATGCATAACCATAAACTTCAGCCATTAAGCGTATGAGATTTTCATCATTTTTATAAACCGTACCTGATACTTTCCCATTTTTCCAATCGTAATCACCTTAAATGTGTAAGCTACATTAATATTTATCTCAATGATAAATGTTTTAATATATAATTAAGTTTTTATATTAATAATCTTACCCATTTGTACATATTTTTTTACTTGTTCTATTAATTCGTCATATTTTAGACCATTCTTAGGTAGTTCAATAATAAATGGAGTATTCATAAATTTGCGCAACGCATCTTTCTCAAAATTGTCATTAATACTTAACAATTCTTTCTCAATCTTTTCTCTAATGGAAGGTATATAACGAGCTAATCTAAACAATTGCTTCTTCCCTCGAACAACAATAGCTGTAAATATATAAAATATAATATTAAGATTCTCTTTTTTGTTTTCATACATAGAATATATACTGACATTGTAAAGTCATAAAAGCGTTAGACATTTTGTATAATAATTATTTAATACAATCCTAACAGTAAGTACAATGCCAAATGATAAAAATCTGATAGTACTTACATTCATCTTGACAGAAAATAAAATTCCATATCCAAACAGTTCCAAGTACAGTGGTTGTAGTTACACTAACTATTTGCCATGGTTCTTTATTTTGAAAGAAATAGTTAACAATTCCTTTCAAATTATCCATACAATGAATACCCATATTATATATCTAATAAATACAAAGTTATAATTTAGTTATTATAAATCTTATTTCTTATATAGAAATATGTCATTTATCAATGTATATATTAGTACCTTGATTTTTAAAAAATCCTTCAAAAATAATATTATTACTGTTGTGGAAAAAGAACTTGCCTAATACTTTCTAGTTGGAATGATAAAATAACGTGACTTTCGAAAATGACGTTACCGTCTTATCTCTTTAAAAACTTGTAGAGCAATTCAGAAATGTATGCTTTTTGAAGTCTAATCTATTTTGTACTTTGGAATCAGTCAATGCCAAAATCTGTTTATAGGCATTATAGTTACTCATACATTCCTTATAAATATAACAAAGAAATCATTAGAAAACAAAATAATACTTTTGTAATAAATAATATTATTATAATCAGAAAACTTCTAAAGTCACTACTATGTTAATAATAAATTAATTTAAACTACGAAAAAACATTAACAATATTATCACATGTTTTACAATAAACAATAAAACAAAATAGTGCAGGAATAGTAAATGTTAATTAATGACAATCTAATTATTGAGCCTAATTAATCGTAGGAACGCAGGCAAGGAACCTTAACAGCAGAAAAAAATGAATAAGTGCTCTTATCTGCACATTAATTGCACATTTCAAATCTTTAATTGCACACTTTATCAATTAATAACTAAAAAAACAAAAATGTAAAGCAATAAAGATTTCTTTTGTTTTTTCTTTTCAATCACTTGCTGACTTTTTGTTTGTCCGTTTTTCTCCGGTCTTTCTAACTACAATATGATATCGGTTTTATTTTTTTTAATCTAGTAAGTCTTTTTCTCTGTACTTGTTCCAAGACAATCGTTCTTAACGAGTAAACACCTTTAATTAATAATTAAAACAAAATATTTATATTAGATTTTTAATTGTTGTTTGTTATTAAATGTATATAGAATTTAATTACACATTCACTTTGTCTAGACTACTTGCTATTAAAAGTTACTAGGAAATAAGAAAGTTTAAAATATATTGAAATTCTAGTAACATGGCTAAGCCGATATCGGTAATAGTAGTACTCTACTTACCATCAGAATTACCGACAGTAGAAAAATTTTCACCGCAGAAAAAAAAGAATAAATGCTCTTAATTGCTCAATAATTGCTCATTTAAAATCCATAATTGCTCGCCTAATTATCTAATAATTTTTTACTGTCGGTAATTCTGTTGGTAAGTTACCATCAGATCTCGGTCGGTAAGTCGTATTACCGACAATAGAAAAATTTTCACCACAGAAAAAAAAGAATAAATGCTCTTAATTGCTCAATAATTGCTCATTTAAAATCCATAATTGCTCGCCTAATTATCTAATAATTTTTACTGTCGGTAATTCTGATGGTAAGTAGAGCACTACTATTATCAATATCGGCTTAGCCAGGTTACTAGAATTTCAATATTTCTGAAACTTTCTTATTTCCTAGTAACTTATTATTAATTAGATTAAAGTAAATCAAAATAATTATGTTAATAAGATAAATTTACACCTTTCACAATTCTATCTACCTTCGTGTGAATGGCCTCATAAAGCACCTGTAAAGAAAAATTTAGGGTGATTTTTAAAAAATTAGATTATTATATTCTGAAGTACTACTATTAATATTACCACTATTAGTATTATTAATAAGAATAATAATAAAAAAAAATAATACTATAATAAACTATTGTATGTAGTCCGAATAGTAGTTTATGTAATTAAATAGCAAATTCAAATTACTTGTGTAAAAACAGTTAATTAATTTAAAAACCCATGAAAAATTTGCATCCTTAAGATCGTCATACTCAAAAAAGATCTAAGCGAAAAACAAATATTCAACCAAGAGCCCTTTCTAAGATTCCTCATTCTTAGGTCCCACTACTAACAGTCTCATTGAAAAAACAATACAATTATTATCGATATAACCAAGGAAAGTGTAAGTACAAAATGACCAAACAAAAATGAAGGAGTGAATCAAAATAAAATTTTAGTAATAACGATAATTACGTTAAAAACTAAACCGTTTAAGTATATCTTCAATATATACACATGTATCTATATATACGGAGAGAGATTTCGAGTTACATTAATTTAAATTTAATATTATTAAACATTATAAAGTAATTAGTTTCTGTATATTAAATGGATAAAAGGAACGAAAAAGATAAAGGAATAAGGATATTATATTAATTAGGGATTTTAAAGAAACTAATTACAATTATAATGTTTATGGTAAGCGGTCTTTGGCTGGATTTTACTTGCAATGGAATGTATATCATATAAAATATGATAAACATTATATTGAAAGTAAAATACCATTGCCCAGGTCTAACCACGAGGAGGTAACCGCTTCTGAAGACCCGAGATGTGCATCCTGAAGATGTCCCCATCCGAATGAAATTGAAACCAAAGAAAATGATCACCCTGAAAACGTTTTTTAATGAGCCCCACTCTTAGGCCCCACCCTAAGAGTTTAATTCGAAAAATCCTTACAATTAATTACTATCGAGAATGAAGAGGAAAGTTTGAAAACTGAATAAGAAAATGAAAACGAGGAGTGCATCTGAAWWAAATTCAAGTTACATCAATGATTTTATTGAAAACTAATACACTTTAGTATAATTTCAATATATGCGCATATGGAAATTACAAGTTAGGAATATTTTATATTTAATAATTTGCAATCTACCTAAAATATAGTATAATAAAAATAAATGTACATAATTTATGGTGCATATCTGTAAAAAAAAAGAAAAGAAAGTGCTTAAAAAAGTAACTATCCTAAATATGTGATGCTATCTAAAAAACCATAAACGGATTAAAAATATTCACACACATTTAGTTATAGAAATAATTATTTTCTGCTACCATTTACCAAAACTCAGTCCTTTTTTGGTTCGTTTCTGCCTTCTCTTGGACTGATCTATGGTACCTATAAAAATTTCGACTAATCCATGGTATTTGTAAAAAGATCCATGGTACCTGTAAAAATTTGGACTGATCCATGGTACTTGTAAAAACATGAAAGTGCATTAACAATGATTTTTCTCACGAGTGCGATGCAATATTAAAGTAATAAAAATATTAAAATACTACCATTTACCATAACTCTGTTCACTTCCGGTCCCCCTTTCACCTCTTCTTGAAAAGAATTTTGCATCGTCTCCCATAATTAATCCTGCCAACAAAAAATAAAAAATAGGATCGTTTGGTGAGGGGGAAGGGAGTGGAAATTTTAGGTAAGGACATGATATCTCCCAATCAATGGAAATAGGAATGGCTCGCGTGGGCAGGGTTGCATCCCTGAAGTAGACCTTTCTTCGCAAAGAAAGAATCTACTCGCTACCCATTGAAACAAATACTGGAAACGAACCTGAAAAAGAAAAAAGAAATATTAGTTTAGATTTGCAAAGATCCAATGAATGTGCATCGAAAGCATGTTCCTTTTTTTTAGATGAAAATCCAATACTTACAAATGCATGGAAATTAATCATATTCTGAAACAATATAAAATGAAAATTAATTGAATATATAATATAGTAATTGATTAAATCCTTCTATACCACTAAAAAAAAATCAAAGAGACATTAAAAAACATTATAAGATAATTAGTTTCTACGAATGAAATGAATAATGAAAAGTGGGGAAACTGTGTGTAATAGGAAATTAGAAAATGATATGATATTGTAATGGGAATTCGATATGGTATTGTACTCTATCATGATTTTCAAGTATTTTTTGTCTTTTAAATGAAATATCATTTAAGATCATACTTTGTTAATACTCGATTTATTTTTAGGAAAAATTATGTTCGATGTATGGTGGGTGGTATGGCAAGTCCCACGATGGTAACCTGAAACATTCAGCAAACTATGTTAGTTACTTCCATTCTTAAAAAACCACTATAAATTATTGACGAGCAAAGAAATATCAAGCAATATCAAATGACCAACGAGCTATTCTCAAAAGATTCAACCATGCTGTTGAATTTGAAAATAACTCATT